GGTGATTGCACTTGGGTTTACATGGCATCTTAACAAAAGGACAATACATTTTTAGAGAAATGACAAGATAAAGGAAAACAGGCGTAGGCTTTAAAGTGGCAAACTGTAGGAAGGTAAGTATATGGGGGAAATTAATAGAAGATAGGATTCTTTAGTAAGGTTTGTTTTGTAGATTATTCTTGGTGCACATCTCTGGGCTGATAAGAGTCTAGAAGTTCTCCTGTCCATTAAAAGTTCTGTCTTGCCCGGCTGGTGTGGCTCAGATGTTGAGTGTTGACCCAGGAACCAAAAGGTCAATGGTTCAATTCCCAGTCAGGGCACATGCCTGGTTGTGGGTTCGATTCCCAGGAGGAGTGCGTGCCGGAGGCAGCTGATCAATGATATTTCTCTCTCATTGATGTTTCTATCTCTCTCCTTAAAAATCAATAGAACCATATTTTTTTTTTAAAAAAAAAAGAATTCTGTTCTTTCTGGTAAGGAAAAGTGAGACATGTTTACAAATTTGTGTTCTGCTTTTAGGCAAATGAGGGAGGGCAGAGAGTTTTTTCTTGTACCTGTTTCTCCTCAATTGTTTCTAGCTCAAAATAATCTTTATGCCAAAGTGGCTTATTTTGAGGTGGTATATTCTGATACTCTACATATCAATTTAGTCAGATAAGTGTGGAAAAATGCCAGATCAGTTAGCTAATATTTTGAAAGTGAACCAAAGATATAGATAATTTTCAATTTATAATTCCCCTTGTTGGGTTATATAGCATTGAGATGCTATTTGGTAAAACTAGGTTGCCTCCTATGAGATCCTGGTCTAAATATGATGCTCAGGCCTGCAGATGCCTTTGGAGCAGAACGAAATTGGAACTCTTCCCTCTCCTTATATTCTTGGGACCAGATTCAGCTGGAAGCAACTGGTCTCAGGAATGTACTGAGTCAGGCATCCACTTATTTCACTGCATGGATTCAACCTTGTTAACTGATTTAATAGTCCTCCGGGTCACTCTGTATGTGAAGACTAGGCAGCCAGTCAATTTGATGTACTCATATTGGCCATCTTAGCGAAGTTTTAGGCTTGTTTGTACAAAACAGTTAATCTGATTGTTAGCTTTGAATAGAGGACCTTATTTTTTTTCTCATTTGTTTTCAACCTGATGTTCCTGTTCTCATTATAGTGGAAACTAATGACAGGCACAAAAAGAATCTGCAAAGACGTATTAATAATGGGAAGTCTTCTTAATTATCCTCTTTTCAGGGATCCCAGGTTTGGAAAAGTCCAGTGGGAATTAAAATAAGCGTTCCCTATGGATAAGCAAATTGAAGAAACATTGGTATTAAGTGTGTGCGCATGTGTGTGTGTGTGTATGTTCAAGTTGGGAAAAGTGGAAATTCTATCGGTTTGGGTAGGGACTCAGAGAGGTGGCTGGGGTGGGTAAAAAGTAAAATGTGAAAAATTTAAACTAGCCTAGCTGGTTTTGCTCAGTGGATAGCACGTCGGCCAGCTGACTGAAGGGTCCCCGGTTTGATTCCTGTCAAGGGCACATACCTAGGTTGCAATCTCGATCCTGGTTCCCGTCGGGGTGAGTGCAGGAGGCAAACAGTCGACATCGATGTTTCTCTCTCTCTCTCTCTGTCTCTCCCCTCCCTTCCACTCTCTTTAAAAATCAGTGGGAAAAAATATCCTTGGATGAGGATTAACAAAGAGAGAGAGAGAGAGAGGGAGAGAGAGAGAGGAGAGAAACTTAAACTAAAAGGAAGGCCCACATATATTTAAGCCTTCCATGATCTGCACCTGACCTTTATAACTAGGGCATGTATATTCAGACTTTTGCATTTAATAATTCCTTTTCTCCTTTAAAGCCTCATCTGTGTTTGTGAGTGGGAGTAAGAGAGACAAATAAGGTCTTTTTCTGAACTGTATATCCTTCTAGAAAGGTGAAATTCCTCTAAAGAATGTCTTTTTAAAAAAACCTGTTCTTTTAAACTACTAGTATACTCTTAAGTAATCTCTCAACACACAATAGGTATTCACCAAAAAACCTTAATTTAATGTGATTTACCTTAATTTAGTGTGTTTAATTCTGCTAGCCAAGTTACACTTGCCCTGAAGAGCTGCATAATTTATTTAAATGACCCGAGGCTTTTTAAAGTCTATCTTCCAGCAGAAAAATTATCCCCTGCCCCCAGGAGAGTGAAATTTTTTGTGTTGTACTGTTTCCCATGACTGACATTTATTTGACTCTCAAGTGTATTTACATTGTTGGATTAATTTAGAGTTCTTTGCTGAATCAATAACATGCTGTATTTCTTGCTTCAAGTGGTGTCAATATTATTGTTATTCTCCCCCTTTTTTACTTTTTTTCTTTAATTCCCTGCAGTTACCAAATTTTTCTTTGACTTGTGAAGTCTTTTACTCCTAAAATTATGAAGAAACAGAGTAAATGCCCTTTTTAATCTTCTGGGAAATGTGTGCCTCTTTAAACTTCATTTACGTCACAACTTACTGTAATGAAGGACAAAAGCCCTAGACAAGGTCCCCTGCTCCTCGGGGGTGTTCAAGGCTAGGTCTCCCAGAGGCGAGCCTGCAGTTTTTTTCTCACAAGTTTATAGCTCACCTCCTGACTGTTTCTTTGCAAGGGGCATGAGAGGGGGCTAGAAATAGAGCAGGGTGGGAATCTGACCCATGCTGACCACTCAGGAGGCTCTGGCCTGGAAAATTCCCTTGTATGTGTCAAAAACAAACATTTGAAAAGGAGGGAGAGACCAGGCTTAAACAAAGAGTGAAACCAATTCCCATTTCAACAATTCTGCCCGTAATCATATGTGTCTGTCTGTTCATTTGTTTCCCAAGTCCATTTCCCACCAATTGGATAGAGCCTCCACTTGAATCTGTCCAGAGCATACGAAAAAAAATATTTTGAGATTTAATAAAATTGTGTATATGCATATTAGGAGCATTTTTTCAATATTCAAACTCAGTCTACCAAAAAAACCCAAAACACACCGCATGGAAATGGTGTGCCGCTCACCTTTGAATCTACTACATTTTTCAGGCAGTGGTGACCACTTCTTACTGGTGCCATCTGCCTGTGTACAGCAGGATTGACTTCAATGTTAATGCAGAAACAGAAATGTCAAAAGCATTTGTTTTGTCTCACGTCATTTGTAATTTTGTTTTCTGTCACCTGCCCTCTCTTCTTCATTGCTCCCCTTCTGCTGAATTGCTTAAGTCCCCAGATACTTCCTCAGAGCCTCCCGGCAAATGAGCACAGGCTCACTATGACTGCTACCAGACAGATGTGATCCATACAAATAACTGGAATCCTTATACCCAGTTAAGTGTTGTGGCTTCTCTGGTTTTCTCTACTCACTGTAATAAACTATCTAGTCACTCATTTTGTCTCTCTATGGTCTTCATTTTGTGAATAAATTTAAGAAAAATATCTCCCTGCCCTAGCCGGTTTGGCTCAGTGGATAGAGCGTTGGCCTGTGGACTCAAGGGTCCCAGGTTCGATTCTGGTCAAGGGCACATGCCTGGGGTTGCAGGCTCGATCCCCAGTAGGGGGCATGCAGGAGGCAGCCAATCAATGATTCTCTCTCTCATCATTGATGTTTCTATTTCTCCCTCTCTTTTCCTCTCTGAAATCAATAAAAATATATTTAAAAAAGAAAAATATCTCCCACATAACAATCCTTCAAGTTCTTTTCCCCTATTTAGTGTTTTTTAACAGTTAGTGAATGGCCAACAGTCACTTTCTGTAAATGTTGCAGGTTTTCTTTTTCCCAGGATAGTAGGTGAGTTTAAAGGACTAGCTAGTACTCCCTCCTGTAGTATGGAGGTTAAGAACATGGCCTCTGGCATTAGATGGTCTCGCTTTAAATTCAAATGTCCTCATTTAATAGTTATGTGACCACATAAAAGTTAAACTCTGTGAGTCTTAGTTTCCTGATTTGTAAAATGGAGTTAATATTAATAGCTTATAATGGCACCTACCGCGTGGTAGGCACGGGTTTAAGCACTTTAAATACATTAGCTTGTTTAATTTTCCTGACTCTATGATGTAGGTAATTAACATCATCCCCATTTATCAGATGAGAAAGCTGAGACACAAAAGACGGAAATAACTTGGCCAAAGTCATAGAAGTAGTAAGTGGTATAGCTGAGCTTGTGAAACCAGGCAGTTGGATCCAAGGTCATTTACATACCAGTATGCTACATTGCCTCTCTATTAAATTACCGAGCATAAAGCATCTAGCACAGTGTTTGGCACATAGTTTTTCAACTAGTATTATCACTACCATCACCTTTTCTTTCTTCCTTCCTTTTGTTACTCTTGCTTCTCTTGGGCTGATCTTGTAAGGTTGATCCCTGCAGCGCCCACAAGAAGAGATAACAATTCTATCTAGGCTGCAGTTGCTGCCTTTCTCCTTCTTCACCTTGTGCACTTTGTATTTAAACCGCAAATATGACAGAGACCTATGAAAGGGAACACCAAATGTTAATACCTCTTTTCCAAAACATGAAAATTATATCCCTCCTATCACCCCCGCTCCAGCAACAAGCCAACAGAAATTGTTTAAAGCAAGGGAGAAATTTTAGAAATTCTAAACTTCAAGTCACATTGCTACTGTTCTTTAATAAACAAGGGTAAAGATTTTTAAAAGTAATGAAGGTTACAAAGAACATTGGGGGACAATGACACTGCTACTAGAATAAATTCCCTAGTCTCCACTCCTTAATGCGTTTTAGAATGCCAGTATCAGGGAAGAAGAGAAAATTCTACAAATAATTATATTCTTCTTTTCAAGTAAGTCACTGACTTCAAAATTCTCTAACACATTTGTGGAAACTTCATTTTTTTTGTTTGAGATTTATTTGAATGAGCTGTTATGATTGGAGACAGTGAGAATTTCAGATTAATGTTTTGCAGCCAAAAAAAAAAGCTCTGGAAAGCTGGCAAGTGTTCATAAGTCAGCCCTAGAATTATGTAGGTTGAAGGCTCCCAGTGGACAGACCGAACATATAAGAAGGAAACCAGAGATCTGGTGCTATTACTTCCCTGAGTCTAAGGGAACGAGTAAGCACAGAATTAAAAGCATTCTTCAGCCTGAAGTTTTAAGGTAGGTCTGCACAATTTCTACATACTGCACTTGAAAAATAGAACATACATTAAACAAAAATATATTTTATGGATGAACTGTACTTTTTCTCTGTATTTTAACACTGTATTTGCAAAACTCCTAAATTATTTAACTGCTGTTTCTCTCACAGGAGTGCACTGAAGAACTAGACAAGCTGGTTTATGATAAATAAGTTTAAAACTCCAACAACCAGTAAGTCTTCAAGTGGGTTTTTAAATATTCTTTTATGTTAATTTATTAGGTCAAGATTATGAGAGAATGAGTTTTAGGTAAAAATGAGAACTTTGCTGTTTATTATGAGATTCTTTGGTGATGACATTTTTCATAGAGTACTTTATTTTTATGTATTTTCAAACTATGTAAAATAATAGTCTTTCCTTTACTTTGTTTACCTTCAGCTAATTTTCTTTTGTTTTAGAATAATGTTGCTTTTAAAGCAAGCACAATAGTATCACAAAAGCCAAAACATTGGTAATAACATTTGAGAGCCATGTAGCAATGTTACTACTTAGTTGTGTTAAACTTGAAAAGATACCAAAAGAAAAATGATATAATTATATATGATTAATCTTTGATGTTCGACTCTTACTTCATTGAGCAATCAAAACTATGTCTACTTGACCCCAAACTAGATTTGGCTATTTAAAAAAAATAGATTAAATTTAAATAGATCTAAAGTCAGTCTCTATTAAAATGTGAATAGGGGACTTTTAGAAATATGCATGTGTTCTATAAGTTTCTTTTATTTATATTATTATTGTAAAAAAAATGGAAAAGTAGAACTAAATGAATTATTTTTTAATTAGTAAAAACCAACCATAATCCCCCATCCCAATATGTTCCTTTTGCATATTCTCTTTCAATCTTTTGTGCACTTACTTATTTTTTCCAGAGCTTATGTTACTTATATTTTCCATAGCTGTAATGATTTGTATATAATTAGTTACTTGAATAAGGCATTTTTCTATGCAATAGCAGACAGCAGTGTGTTTTCTAGAAAGTATATGTGGACTGAGATATGTGCTCACATGTTTTTGAAATATTAACTTTTCTTATTCTTGATTCCTTCTTGTTTGTTTTATGCATTTCCTATCCTGGCTAATCTTTTGGAATATTAATTTTCATTAGACCTTTTGAAAATATGATAGGAATGATGAGAAAAATGTAGTTTTGTTTGGAATTTTCAGTCCCTGATGCTGCAATGTCTTAACTTGTTGGTACTGGTGAAAAAATAATTTTTTTTCCAAGAAGTAAAATCCAATCTTATTTTATGTCATGGTTCTGTTTCCTAATGTTTTCTATAATCACCCACCTTGTTTTGCTTTTAACAAACATTCAAAATGCTAATGACTCTATGTCCTAAATTCTGTAGATGTTCTGAGAGTTTTTTTTTATTTTCACAGAAGGTGGTAAAAATTAAGAGCTGCTGACATTTCAACATGAAAGGCAACTTCACCCCTGCCACCATCAACAAAAACGTCACCAGCAGTCTGGACTTCGGACTTGGGAACATCTCTGGCAATGACTCTACCTTTAACTGCTCACATAAGCCATCAGATAAGCATTTAGATGCAATTCCTGTTCTCTACTACATTATTTTTGTGATTGGATTTCTTGTCAATACTATTGTGGTTACACTGTTCTGTTGTCAAAAGGGCCCTAAAAAGGTTTCCAGCATTTACATCTTTAACCTGGCTGTGGCTGACTTACTGCTTTTGGCCACTCTTCCTCTCTGGGCGTCCTATTATTCTTACAGATATGACTGGCTCTTTGGGCCTGTGATGTGCAAAGTTTTTGGTTCTTTTCTGACCTTGAACATGTTTGCTAGCATTTTTTTTATCACCTGCATGAGTGTTGATAGGTACCAATCTGTCATCTACCCCTTTCTGTCTCAAAGAAGAAATCCCTGGCAAGCATCTTATATAGTTCCCCTTGTTTGGTGTATGGCCTGTCTGTCCTCATTGCCAACATTTTATTTTCGCGATGTCAGAACCGTTGAGTATTTAGGAGTGAATGCTTGTGTGATGGCTTTCCCTCCTGAGAAGTATGCCCAATGGTCTGCTGGGATTGCCTTAATGAAAAATATCCTTGGTTTTATTATCCCTTTAATATTCATAGCAACATGCTATTTTGGAATCAGAAAACACTTACTGAAGACCAATAGCTATGGGAAGAACAGAATAACACGTGACCAAGTCCTGAAGATGGCAGCTGCTGTTGTCCTGGCGTTCATTATTTGCTGGCTTCCCTTCCATGTTCTGACCTTCCTGGATGCTCTGGCCTGGATGGGCGTCATTACTAGCTGTGAAGTTATAGCAGTCATTGACCTGGCACTTCCTTTTGCCATCCTCCTGGGATTCACCAACAGCTGCGTTAATCCCTTTTTGTATTGTTTTGTTGGAAACCGGTTCCAACAGAAGCTCCGCCGTGTGTTTAGGGTTCCAATTACTTGGCTCCAAGGCAAGAGAGAGAGTGTGTCATGCCGAAAGAGCAGTTCCCTTAGAGAAATGGAGACCTTTGTGTCTTAAACATGAGAATGGAATACAGGTCATGGCTATTTGGTTTGAGGTCCCCTTGAATTCTCTTTTAATGGCTTTCGTAAAATTAGTTTTCCCCCTTAATGTAATCTTTCACTGTTCTAGAATAGGAAACTATACGTTTTATCCTCCAGTGACAGTCAGAAATGGCCACCTCACCCCTTTTATCTGGTCTATTAATACAAGACTGTCATTGGGCAGATATCCATAACCTAGAAGTAACTTGGAATTTATCTCAAATTATAATTAATAACAAATTGTGAACGAGAATTTGGGGGTTCAGATTTCTCCTTGACCAATGCTGAAGTTTTTTAAAAAAATATGTTTTTATTGATTTCAGAAAGGAAGGAAGAGGGAGAGAGAGATAGAAACATCAATGATGAGAGAGAATCATTAATTGGCTGCCTCCTGCACGCCCCTTACTGGGGATCAAGCCCGCAACCCAGGCATGTTTGATTCCTTGACTAAGATCGAACCCGGGACCCTTCAGTCTGTAGGCTGATGCTCTACCCACTGAGCAAAACAGGCTAGGACTGCTGAAGTTTTATTAAATCGGTTTTTATATCTGTTTTCACCAGGCTTTCCTTTTCAACCAAGGTTAGTCTTTTAACTCATTGCATTATTTACAAGAAGACTTCATGCTATGAGAGAGACACTATACTTCTTAATGAAGTATACTGCAACAGACTGGTACCGAATTATTCGGGCTCCAGGCATATACTTTCTACTTTAAAAAATAGTAAAAATAATAATCCTTTTACATTTCACTTGAGCATAGATTTTTATTTCATATAGCTACATATTTAGTAGGGCTAGGAATATAGATTAGATCACATGTACTCCTACATTTTAGCTTATTTTTACAGTTATGGAAAGTAAGACATATAGTAACATAGATTTTTAAGTGTTCACTAGACTCTGAATAAACACTTTTTAAAATTTTATATCCATTTGAACTATTGTTTGAAGGTTTCTATGTTTTCTGATAATTTCTTCTAAACAATAACTAAACACTGTGTAGTGTTTTAAAACGTAAAAGGTCACTTTTTACATCCTTGACCTTTTAGATGTGGTGCTTTGATATATAGGAAGTTGACTTGACTTTTATTATTGATGTTTTGGTTCTGGGTTGCTTCTCAAAATATCTGGGTGGCTTCTTTAAATCTTTAACTTTTAATAAATAAAACCTTACCTGTCACAGGAAAAGGTAATGTCAGAATGGAATTTTGAGACCCAGGGAGGACCAAGAGATCCAGCAAATGACAACTTTGTTGTCATGCAAAATTTCTACCTGTCAGGGCAGTGCAATGTGGCTTTAAAAACACAGGGTAGTTTTAACCTGTACCTATGAATACTGTTTGTCCAGTATTTATGGGATTCTGTGAAACTCTTTTAAACCAATTGCTGATTCATAGATGTCCTTCTTAACATTATTAGAACTCCTAAATTAGAGAACTACCTGAAACTGAGTTATCTAGAGTTTACTTAGAATATGAATCCTACTTTTAGAAGTTAGAGATTTCATTCTTCACCAGCCCATATGTATACATATTACATCAGGTTATCTAGGACCTTCCTAGACCAATGCTGACCTCTGAGGTAGAAACAAAGTTTCAGAGGCATAGTGTCTCTGCCAGGTTCCAGGGCTACAGATAAAAAAATCCTCTTGCTCCACTTTCTGGGAAACTCTTAATTTCATGTAATCTGTTATTATCAATAAAAAATAGCTAAATGTATAACCAACTATAACTTCATATTTTAATTAATTTTGTAAAACTTTGCATATAAATAAAATCTTTAATTTGAAGATCATGTGTGTTTACTTTTTTATTTTATGACCTCCAGGTATAGATTCTTATCTTCTCTTGTATCTATATCCTCCTTATAATTTCCACTGATACTTCTTCGTTTCAGCCCCTACCCCTGACTTCTTGCCACAATCTTCTAGTCTCCCTCTCTCAGGGAGAGGGAGAGAGAGAGATAGAAACATCAATGATGAGAGAGAATCATTGATGGGCTGCCCCTGGGAATTGAGCCCACAACCTGGGCATGTGCCCTGACCAGGAATTGAACCCTGACCTCCTGGTTCATAAGTTGATGCTCAACCATTGAGCCACACTGGCTGGGCTTGAAATTCTTTGGGAATGAAAGACTTCTTTTCAAAATTATAATTGGTATGTATTTCTTATTAAAAATCAATACTCTCTCATTGAAAAAATTATATAGATAAAAATTAGCCATTGAGACAATCATTGTTAGCAGTATGGGGTAAGATTATTATATAAATACAAACATAGACACAGATTATATGTATATTCTCTTAATTTTTTTATCTCTTTATCCATATCCATATTTCTTTCTCTTTTTATCTATTATCTATAAGATACATTCTTCATTACCCTATGGTACATTTCATTTTTAGGTTAAATTTTAAAACACTTTTATGAGGTATAATTGACATATAACATTCTATTAGTTTCAGGTATACAATGTAATGATTTGATATTTGCATACCCTGTGAAATGTCACCACAATAAGTCTATTTACACACACAAATTTACAAAAAATTTATTTTGTGATGAAAACTTGTAAGAGTTATTATCATGGCAATTTTCAAATATGCACTACAATATTATTGACTATAGTCACCCTGACTATACATCAATTACATCAATATACACCATTACATCTCAATGACATTTTATAACTGGTATTTTGTACCTCTTGACCCCTTGACCCATTTTGCCCATCCCCCAAACCAACCTCCCAGTACCCCTGCAACCACCATTCTGTTCTCTGTATGTATGAGTTTTGTTTTGTTCTTTAGATTCCACATATAAGTGAGATAGACAATATTTGTCTTTCTCTGTCAGACTTATTTTACTTAGCATAGTACCCTCAAGGTCTAATCCATGTTGTCACAAACATTTCTTTTGATGTTCAAAATATTTTATCTCTAAACTCCCATCTGGTTTACTAGGAAAATTTCTGTCTTCCCTTGTTGAGTCCTCCTTTCTTATGATAAGTCCCAAATTCTCATGGCTTTAAGCAATCCAAGAGATTTCACTTGGTTGTTGCTGTCCAGTGGTGGAAAGATTGGAAAATCTGATAAGACCACTGACCCATTTTCTGCAGCTGCTGTTGCTACATTATCAGTTGGTCTACATGAGAACATATGGTTCACTTATCTGTGCAGATTCCTGTCCACTTTAAGGAGTTTCTAAGTGTGCAAGCCACCTGATAAGGGTGTAAGAGGAAAAAAAAAGGAACCCTCTTTTTCCAGCGTTACACTCATCTATATCTAATGCATGCTACATTAGACCAGATCACAAACACATCTTATTTAGTATCTCCATGGAGCCAGGAGGATCATCAGAAAGTCAGCAGGAGAAACATGCCATACCAGGAACCAGTGCTCTCCTTTCTTAAATGAAGCTGTCCTATAAGCTAGAGTCACATTTCAAATTCCTTCTCAATAAAAATGAGTATCCCTGGTTGGGGAAGGGAGTGGTTAGTAGGGCTGATGTTGCTTCTTAATTAGTAAGTCTCATCTCAATGCATAAGATATACTGTAATAACTTTGAACTTCTAGAAAAAGAATCTAATTCATGATTCCCTTCCTTTCAGAAGGCCCCTTTACCAATTGCCTCCTCCCCCCCCAAACCCCAACCTCAATATACCAATATGCATGGGATATACATATTGGCATAGCTCCATTTGCCTGAAAAGTTGGAACCACCAGACCATTGTCAAACTGCCAAATTTCCCATTATATTTTTCTCTCTGAATAATGGATTTCTATATACTCTACATTTGTTATCACTGAAATGATAATTTCATAACAAAAAAATATTCCAGTGTTTTTTTCCTGTTTTAGCAACTTGAAATATTTGTGGATAGCAGTTAGAAATGATCTTACTGGGTATGCTAGTATCTATTGTTATGGACTGAACTGTGTCTCCCCCAAATTTATATGCTGAAACCCTAACCTCAAATGTGATTGTATTTGGGGAAGGGCTTTTAGGAATTAAGGTTACATGAGGTAATAAGGATGGAGTCCTAATCTGATAGGACTGGTGGCCTTATGAGAAGATGAAAAGAACTCTCTCTCCACATGCACGCATTGAGGAAAGGTCATGTGAGCACACAGTGGAAAGAATGCAGGAAAGAGAATTTGCATCAGAATTCAACTATGCTGGCACCTTGATCTTGTACTTCCAGCTTCCACAGCTATAAGAAAATTAACTTGTGTTGTTTAAGCCACCAAGTCTATTGTATTTTTTATGGCAGTCCCAGAGGACTGATACAGATTTTAGTACCAAGAATGCTAGAGCATCGGTTCTCAACCTGTGGGTCGCGACCCCTTTGGCAGTCGAACGACCCTTTCACAGGGGTCGCCTAAGACCATCCTGCATATCAGATATTTACATTACAATTCATAACAGTAGCAACATTACAGTTATGAAGTAGCAACGAAAATAATTTTATAGTTGGGTCACAACATGAGGAACTGTATTTAAAGGGCCAGAAGGTTGAGAACCACTGTTCTAGAGAAACAGAATTTTAAAGATTAGTTTTCTGAATTGGTTCTGGGGTAGAACTGGCTCTCTAATCAAGCTAGTCTTAAAGATGGTAGTGACTCAATTTATAGTAGTAAAGAGAGTACTGATAGTTCATGACATGATCTAGAAATGCATATATACAAAATATCATTATTGGATATTTCTAATCAACCATTTATAAGAAGCAAGGAGCCAGGTAGTTGTGTATAGTTATGCAATGCAAAATGATCTTTCAGTCAATGTCAAACTATATATACAATAGTGGTTCCATAAGATATAATTAAGCTGAAAAATTCCTATCATCTAGTGATATAGCCATCATAATATTGTAGTACAAAGCATCACTCACAGCTATTAATATAGTATAAAGATATAAAGAAATATTTTTTACAGCTGTGCAATGTTTGTGTTTTAAATTAAGTGTTATTACAAAAGAGTAGAAATGTTAAAAAATTAAAAAGGTTATCTCTGTATGACTTGGCATAATACCCTCTAGGTTCATCCATGTTGTCATACATGGCAAGATTTTATTCTCTTTTCCTGGTGAATAATATTACATTATCTATCTATCTATCTATCTATCTATCTATCTATCTATCTATCCATCCACATCTCCTTTATCCATTAATCTATTAATAGACACCTAGATTGATTCCATATTTTGGGTGTTGTAAATAATGCTACAGTGAACATAGGGGTGCATATATCTTTTCATATTAATGTTTTCATTTTATTTGGATAAATACTCCAAA